GTTGTGTGTGTTTGTGTGTGGTGTGTGTGTGTGTTTGTAGGGCATCTGAGGTACAATGTTTGAACATGTGGTGTGTAACACGTTCGAATATGACATGGAACGTACAAATATTTCACTATCAGGTATGTTAACCAATACTTATATCCTTGTTTGCTGGGGGAGTTTTCCGGGTACTATGCTTCCACTAGCTATCTAACTAGGTTAGTGTGACGGTCATAAAAAACTTTCACGGACGGGAAAAGGTTACCGAAAGGTACCTCGAAAGGAGATACCCAAACCACTTTGGACAGACTCAGTCCAATATTACGATAGTGTAAAAGATAATGTCCCACTTAGACTTTGAACTTCGAACTGAAAATTTTAGTTGGGTTGCATTCAAAGTACATTCAAATCAAGAAAGTGTAGCATCGTGCCCGACGCCCCCACGATCTCTGCCGTCGTGCAACTATGCTGAAGGGGATTTCGGACTCTATACCGGCGTAAAATGTTATTGATTAGGCAACCCAGCGAATTTTTGTTTATTAGTGTTTAGCTGTAGCGTTATAGACAGTCTTTTTAACGTTAATCTCATAAAGGGGTTAGCACGTCGGGATTTGTGTGTGTGGTGGGTGTTGTGTGTGTGTGTGTGTGTGTGTGTGTGTTGTGTGTGTGTGTGTGTGTGTGTGTGTGTGTTGTGGTTAGGGTACTGAGTACAATGTTGCACATTTGTGTGTGTGTGTGTATTACACGTTCGAATATAATGGACGGTACAAAGATCAAAGAATTAACTAACTCCTAATCAAACTTAAGTCAAGCCAAATGGTTACCGGAAGTTGGTCTTTTGTACTAATCAATGTTAAATACTTAAGAAGAAGGAAGGTGAAAATAGAATGTGGACGATCATTGATCGGCAAAACTATAACCTTTAACCAAACTTTTCCTTTTTTTCAGGACTGATAATAACAGTTGTACGCTGTTCAATAGTGAATTCACGGCATGACTTAGACATTAAGAAGTGGGTCGGTCGTTCAACATCAAATGCCAGGAACAGACAAACAAGGTATCTTTATACAAGTTTAACAAGTTTCAAATTAATTCAATACCTGTATTTTGTACAAAGTATCTAACTGGGGAAAAAGGGTGGTTAATATTAGATTAAGTAGGAACTCTAAGGAGTTCCGTAAGGACTATGGCATACAGAGTCCTTACGGAACTCCTAGAGTTCCTACTTAATATATGTAACCACCCTTTTTCCCAGTTATGAGTACTTTGGTACAAAAACAGTATTGAATTTAATTGTCAACTGGTTAAACTATTGTATAAAGATTAACCGTTATGTCTGTTCCTGCATTTGATGTTGAACTACCGACCACTTCTTAATGTCTTAAGGTTCTAGCCCGTGAATTCATCCTAGTTGACACAGGGCGTAAACTGTTATTATCAGTCCTGAAAAAAAGGAAAGTTTGTAAAGGTTATTAGGTTTTGCCGATCAATGATGTCCACATTTATTCACTCTTCTTCTCTTAAGGATTATAACATTGATTAGTAACAAAAAGTGACAAGCTTCCGGTAACCATTTGGCTGACTTAAGTTTGATTAGAGTTAGTTAATTCTTGATCTTTGTACGTCCATGTATAGTTCGAACGTGTATACACACACACACACCATGTTGCCAAAACATTGTACTCAGATACCCTACACACCACACACACCACACACACACACACACACCACACACCACACACACACACACACACACACACCACACACCACACACCCACACACAATCCCGGACGTGCTAAACCCTTTATGAGATTAACGTTAAAAAGCACTGTCTATAACCGCAAGCTAAACACTATAAACAAAAATTCGCTGGTTGCCTTCAAAATAAATTTTACGCCGGTCATGAGTCCGATCCTTACCAGCATAGTTGCAACGAGGCAGAGATCGTGGGGGCGGTCGGCTCGATGCTCACCTTTCTTGAATTTGAGTACTTTGAATGCAACCCAACTAAATTTCAGTTCGAAGTCAAGTCTAAGTGGGACATTAATCTTTTGTACACTACCTCGGTAATGATTTGGACTGAGTCTGCCAAAAGTGGTTGGTATACTCCTTTCGAGGTAACCTTCGGTAAACCTTTTCCCGTCGTGAAAGTTTTATGAACCGTCCACTAACCTAGTTAGATAGCTAGTGGAAGATAGTACCCGGAAACTCCCCCAGCAACAGGATATAAGTATTGGTTAACATACCTGATAGGAAAATTTGTACGTCCATGTCTATCGAACGTGATTACACACAATGTTCAAAACATTGTACTAGATGCCCCTACAAACAACACACCACACACACCACACACACACACACACACACACACACACACACACAGACACACACAGACACACACAGGACACACAGACACACACACACACACACACACACACAACACACACACCACACCACACACACACACTCACTCACACACCACACAAGGGGGACTGTGGTATGGTCCGACGACTTAGTGGGACTACTGAGGGCTTGTTTTGGGACGTAGGGCAAATTGAAAGATGACTCTAGGATAGTTGTCGACGTGGACAGATAGGAACTTGTGCGCACCGGAACAAAAATTGTAGATATGAATGTTGGTCCTCTGTCGTTTGTGTGTGTGAGAGCACACTGGGCTCACAGGGAGGTGGGGGGGGGCAGGGCTCCAACAAGCCGTGTAGGACAGAAAGTGAATACACATACTATACAGAGATGCTGTATGAGAAACCAATGTGAGTTTGGAACGTTGAACAATGTAAATCTATTCTAGTAGAACTCAACAATGGAATTATGATCAGTAGAAATGGCCATGACATGGGACCTTTAAGTTACCCATGTCTATATGATTCAAAAGCGTTCAATGCATTGATTTTCCCCCTCAAATTTAAACAAACTTTCAACGACCTGTAGGAGCCAAGAATCTCCTGATTGACATTAAGTATCTGAGTAAGATTTCTGCCCCTTAAATTAAATAAATTCAAGGATTTGTGGGACCTGACAGCATAGCGCAAAGTAAAAAGGGAAATCAAATAAACTTAGAATTCTGGTTTGGTGCATAATGTGACATTTCTAGAAATAAACAAATGACCATTGTCTACTTTTTCCCTCAAATCCACAACTATTCAAGGATTTTAAATACTCGTAGGAACCACGAGGTCACTCTGATAGCATAGCTTTATTACACTGACAAAGTTGATTTGACATTACATAGGAACATGTACCTTCAGGATTTTTTATGTACAACATATCAAACACACAGAGACAGAGAACAGTGTTAAACACAGACCGAGTGGTGGAGGATCACATGATCACAGCAGTCTTTGTTCAACTCTACTTTACACAGTGTCATAGCTGTAAAGATCACGAGACAAAAGGAGCATCACATCCCCCACGATCCTCTCACTATTTACAAAATGGCAGTGGTTGGTCTAGAAAACAAAGCATTGATTTGATCGTCGTTCGTGGCACAGTTCAATCACCGAGAAAGAAGAGGCTCATCATCAATACAAAAATATATAGTACAGCAATTTTCTTGTCATAGCAAACATTCATACCTGTCCGTCAATGGCCCAGTGGCATCAGCAGCCATTCAGATAACATACAATAAAAAACATCGGCTGCTACACAAAGTAATGAAAAAGGGCGTTGACCTCGGCAGTGGTTTGCACGTGTTGGCACATTAACAACACATTCTGTTTACTTTGCACCACAGCTAACAGGTTAGATTAGGCTTGATTACATAAAGCAGCCATTAGTTTCCATCCATTTCAGGACAATATGAAAACCCTTGAGTTGTGAAACCCATGACAGTTTATCACATATAGAAAAAGCCCAGATGAAAGCAGATATTTATCTTCATCCTGTTATATTTCAGTCAAAAATGCAATCTGATAACACGTCTTGAAACTAGCACACCTAAACGTCCGACTGAAAACATAAAAAATGTATGAAAAAAGCATGAAATTAAGAAGATGATCTCCTTGGTTTTGCAGGAAAACACATATTTAGTACATCAAACTGATTTTTTAAAACAATTTATGAAAACATGTTCCCCAAGAGTAGTCCTTACGGATTAGCATTTGTCTATTTCATCATCAATAACCAGTATGATAATCATATGGAATATCTCTACATTACAGTAGGACTTACTGTTCACACTTATACATCTATTTGCCCTTAAACTGAATTGATATAACATGTTCAGGGTTTACAAAGATTTACGCTGGAGCCACACGAGAACGGCAACGCAAACGAACCAAAATCATTCTCAAAAAAGTCTTCACGCAACAGGCACCAAAAACGTGTCCTTCCACACGAGACCGCTCGACCCGCTGGAGACGCTGTAGTAACTATGCCAGGCCTGTAAGTGGCGCTGTGCTTCTGCCACAAAATACACCAAAAGCAGCGAAGACGACTTCCGAGCATGGTTTCCATGGTTGCCCTTCTGTTTATTCTCCGCGGTGGATTTAGCAGCAGAGGTGGGGAGAGGCAGCAGCTGATCTCTGATCTCTCTCTCTCTCCTGTCCGATTAGACTTCACTAGCGTTTATGTCCATATCGATCAGATCTAGCTAGTTCTAGCTAATGATATGACTGCCTGAGTGTCAAAGGACACCTAAACAATAAGCGACATTTTGACCGGAGAATTTTAGATTTCGGCTAATGGAAACTCTGCCGTGCGGGGGGGGTCTCTGCTGGAGGCACCTGCTGGGTGCACTGTCCTGCGAGATACCGGGACCTGGCTCGAAACACTCGGAAAACGGTTGTTGTTGTTGACGAAGCACATCAGCAATGACGCGGGTGACACGGGGGTGAGCAAGAGAGGTGGGGAGAGGCGGGGCTATTGCGTCATCGTTATCAGAAAATGATCCTGTAGGGCGTGACACGGAGCCGTTTGGCCACCCCAGAGCGTTGCGTCCGCAGGTCTACCCACCTTGGGACCCGTTATCGTTACCGCTATCTGCGTTTCCCCTGTCGGCCTCGTGTGGCCGAACTATATGATAGAGAACTGTAGCGGATACGACCGTTACCTTTCTCGTGTGGCTGCAGCCTTAATGTCTCAAGCAAGAATCTGAATGTGATTTTCATACTGGGCAGAAATGAATAAAAGCCATTAGCTGCATGGATTAGAAAGAAAACCTGTATAATATGCTTTTAAAAATAGTCAACATAAGTGCAAATTGTACATGATTTGTAGTTAAAAGATTTGCAAACACACTGTTACAGCCTTTTAACATTAAAATATTTCTTCATAATGAACAGAAAGTTAACATAACAACACCCTTGAAGCCAGATGACAGAGAGACTAATAAAGAGACATTTTGGGAAGTCAAATCTTTAGGAAACAATTAAGTATTTGACAGTGTTGTCCAATATCCAAATCACCGAAACATTGACATGACCTTTTAAGTGTCTAGTACAGGAAAACAAATGTGTCTAAGTTCCTTTTTTTACCAGACATTTACCTGTCCTTAAATCCTGAAAGTGGACACACAGTGACCCCAGGACACAGTTCTCACTCGTCCTCCTCCCTAAAAAGAAAAGCTCAAAGCATCAGGTGTGTGCATGTTGTCAGAGATGTTGTTTTGACATGTTTCAGGGTTCGAGAAAAGGAAAATAAAGCGGACAATAAAAGGGTTTAGCGTTCGGACCCTTTTCTTTGGAAACACCTGGGGATTTCACACAGGTGAGTCACCGAGAGTTTTCTTCTGCAAGCACGTAAAAGCTAATGGTCCAAAAGTACTGTAATTACAGAAACAAAGCATCCAGTGAACTGCACACAGGCAGGAGAGATGGTTTTCATACACCTACACTTCCCTCGCCATCATTGACTTCCACAGTTACACACCCGAGGCGTCGCAATCCATCAAATGAGGCCTTTTTGAGGAGGTGTGACATTTTCTATACACGGCCATTCGTCAAACATTCACATTACAGACGGCGGAAAGAGTCCTCGTATCGGAGCACATGATGCCACCCACAGAGGAGCAGGAAATCCATCCTCCCAATAAGAGTTTTTGGGTGTTTCGTGATAGTGACGTTTTGAGGACTTCCTGTGTCTAATTGTCTTGTTAAAAACGCAGGAAGTCTAACCTCGTGATCCTCGGGGTCATGAGAGGTCAGAAAAGTCCATCCAGAGGACTTCAGTCTTATGGCGATGTTCCAAAAAGTCACATTTCAGTCGATTATGTTTCTTTGAGTGTTTTTCCTCAGCATACAGTGTTTGGCAAGTACATACAGTAGTTCTTCATCACCCTTTGCGTTTTCCTCTCACTTTCTGAGTCTTTTCCCGCCCAGTTTCCCTCTCTCAGGTGCAGCACTCCCGCTCCACGCGGCAGAAGAACTGGGATTGTGTGGGCAGGGAAGTGGAAGTGGAAGGGTCGGAGGAGGAAGAGGAGTAGGAGACGTTGGTGTTGGTGGTGCAGGAGGAGGACGGGGAGGAGGAGAGGAGCGAGGGGTAAGGGCTCATCTTCTCGATGTTGACGTAGGTGGTGTTGAGCAGGACGTAGTGCTCGCCGCTGAAGCTGGAGGAGATGGAGGAGATCCGGGCCACGAGGTCCGAGAAGGAGGGGCGGCGCTCCGGCTTCGGGTGCCAGCACTCCACCATCACCGTGTATCTGAGGGAGGAAGAGGAGAGGCGTCTTTTACCGGTTCTCACATTTCATACTAAATAGACAAATCTCACACACAGTATCATTAAAGGTCAATTATCTCTTCTACATCAACATGTGTCCCCTCTTCTTCATGTCTCTTCTACATCAACATGTGTCCCCTCTTCTTCATGTCTCTTCTACATCAACATGTGTCCCCTCTTCTTCATGTCTCTTCTACATCAACATGTGTCCCCTCTTCTTCATGTCTCTTCTACATCAACATGTGTCCCCTCTTCTTCATGTCTCTTCTACATCAACATGTGTCCCCTCTTCTTCATGTCTCTTCTACATCAACATGTGTCCCCTCTTCTTCATGTCNNNCTTTGGGAATATCATGAATGATGTGCATTTTGGAATGATATGCTACAATTGTAGACATCCTGGGATACATAATACTGTTCACAAGAGAGGTTTATATACTGGAAATGATCATTGTACCTATAATCCCTTGCAATAGTTTTTCCACCATGTTTTAAAGGTCCCCTATGATACTGTTTTTCATCAATATATTATAGGTTTCAGATATATCCAGAGCCTGTCTCNGTGGGGTTTAAAAGAAGGGAGGAAAATGTCATTTCTCGGATAAGAATAGGTCATACAGGTCTCAATCATACATTAAGTATAATAGGAAAGCATCCAACCGGAAAGTGTATACACTGTAGCCAGCCAGAAACTGTTGAGCATGTTTTACTGCTTTGCAGGAAATATAGTACTCAGAGAAATGTGTTTTTCCAGACACTGAAGAAAGCAAAATTCCATGACTTGTCGCTATCAGGACTGTTAGGGAAAACATCAGGCAATATATATTGTGAGATTATTACGTTTCTAAGAGAAATGACATTTAAAATAATCTAGAGTTTTGGTTCTTTGTTTTGTTTTGTTTCTTTTGTTTATTGTTTTCTGCTTAGTCTCTTGTCCACATTCCAGTCCAGTTGGTGGCGGTAATGCACCTACAAGTTGGTTTGCCAACCGCCAATAAACACGAAAGAAGAAGAAGAAGAAGAATAACCGAGAGAAGAGGAAGAAGGAGAACCTGGATCCATATGGCATCTCGTCGCTACGGTTCTTTCTCTCTCTGTGTTCCTGAGAAAGTGTGTGTGAGCTCCAGCACTACTGATCCATCATCTGTGTGTCTGGATAAACCTCTGAATGGACTCTTTGCTCTTTTTCTGGAGCGTTTACCTCGGACTATAGGAGCTAGCTTAGCATGTTAGCAACACTAGTCAGATTGAGAGTTTGATGGAGAGAGAAACTGTGTGTTTAACGCAGGAAAAGGTGATATAGCAAACATGAGTAAAGTCCAAATGCTGCTGTCGTTGAAGCAGCGACTCACAGCTGCTGCTGAAGAGATATTTGCTCTGTTTGAAAAAACGATAGCAGAGCACGAAGAGGAGCTGTCTCTTTCCAAAGAGGAGAACGAGAGACTCCAGAAACTACTGGATGCTGTTTTACAGCCTCAGCTTCGGATACACAGAGCAGGTCAGTTCCCTTTATTCTGAATGAACACTTTAAGCTCTTCAGTAACACTTTATTATCACATTAATAACACTTTAGACTCTTTCAGCACTTTAGACCAGGGTTTCAGTTATAAACTGAGCTATATGGGGGTCTTTAAAACACACACACACACACACACACACACACACACACACACACACACACACACACACACACACACACACACACAAGGCCGGATTGGGACAATAAGTCAGGCCGGGAATTATACACTCAGCCAGGCCATTAACAGTTNCGCTAAGGTGATGGCCGGCTCGCTGGGAGACAACGACAAGATGGTGGCCGTGGCGTCGGGGACGGAGATCATCCTGTGGGCCATCTGCCCCGACGGGAACGGAAACGAGATCGGTGAGGCGTCAACAAGTACTCTGGATTTAAAACACTCCAATACTAGTCAAACTCCTTAATCAGAAAAAGAAACACTGAAATTATCCCGGGGAGAAATTAAGAAGTTAAAAAGTTCTTCTGTTCTTGTTCTGTAACGCTGAGAATTGAGTTTCATATTATTTGACTTGTTTTTAAGGCCCTAAATGTTTTAGTTCTCTCCTGATTGTTTTATTTTGGCCCAAAAGTATGTTATTAATAATTTGAAGAAAAGCCCAAAACGTGCTTCTATGGATTTGCTTTTTGCATTATCATTTATTTTTTATATTAATCATATTTATTCTATAGGTTTCATCTTCAAGTAGTTTTCCCCAGCATGAAGGCAGGCTGATTGAAACCACCAATCAGATGAGTTGAAATCCTCTGACTGTCTCACCTGTTTCTCCTGCAGGCGTCTTCAGTCTCAACGTGCCGGTGGAGGCTCTCTTCTTCGTTGGTAACCAGCTGATCGCCACCAGCCACGCGGGGAAAGTGGGGGTCTGGAACGCCGTCACCAAACACTGGCAGGTGGGTGGAGACGCTCTTATCCACACCTGTTGTAGCTGCACCGGTCCAATAAATAAGGCCACAAACATACTGATGTCTTTTGAAGTTGTATTCTCTCCCTCTCTTTCTCCGAAGACTAAACTATAAGAAATGAACAATTGAAAGTTTACATTAAGTTGTTTCAGTCTCTTACGGTACGTCCACACGGTTCCATCGCGTTGAAGCTTGGCGGTGGGCGTGTCTGGTGCACGACCAACAACCAATCACATTAATCTCCCGTCCCAGACACACAGGCACGCGGTTTGATTGGCTAGAGCTTGTACTGGCATATGATTTGATTGGCTGGCGCTTCTGTCGACGCTTGAAAGTTGAACATTTCTCAACTTTCAGCACGACCAACGGAGACAAAGGGAAGCAACGGAACCACAATGCAGTTCGGCAAAGCGTGACGTCCCCCCATTCAAAGTGAATGGGAAGCGTCTCTGTTGAAGCATGCGACGGAACCGTGTGGACGATACGTTATGCCCATTGATAAACTGCTAACACATTAGCAAAATGAAAACGTGGTCACAAGATAATTATTTTACACAAACCGTACAAAAAAAAGTGTAAAGCACACTCTTAAATATTGACACACACGTATCAACAAATGAGAAACATTTATCGTGTGCGCCTCTTGAACCCATGGATGTTTAATAAGAACTGGAGGAGGGTGGGAGGCGGGGTCTCGTTCTTTCCTATGAGAGCTGCTCATTGGCGCATGAGGACAAAATGGCCCAACTTTTGAGAGAGCGAAACGTCACAGATTACCCATCATGCTGTCAGAGCAGAAGAACCCGTATGTGCGCTCACAGAGCATGCGCCCCTTAAGCCCCGCCCCCCGAGCTCCCACTCTCGGCTCACTAGAATGAATGGAAACAGAAAATAAATCTAGATTCGGCTTTTAGTGCATTTACAACTTTAAGGACCTAATGATTCTAATAAGGGCTATAAAATAGTTCATACTGGGTAGTTTATTTAGTTAAAAAAAAATAGCCGCTGATTTACAGACGTCTCTTTCCCCATGTTAGTCAATGGGGAAAAGTCTTTCTGGGCCGGGTGACGTCACGGACTTGTAGTACCGCCGTTTGGACACTACGGATTTTTGCCTCAGCACTTCCTGGGGTCTTGATTTCAACGGCATGCCGCCATGTTGCCTCTTACCCACAATGCCATGGCAATGCCCTCTGACCTGTGTGGTCATGTGACTCACAGACCACATCCCAAATATGAAACATTCTACATTTCGCTATCCAGATAATACTCTACATTTTACAATTGTCTAATTACACTAACATTTACAAAATGAATCATAAATTGATAAGAAAGGCACACAAATTAACACCCAAGCTTTTCTCAGACTGTTACACCAGTGATGTTTTTTACTAGATAGAAGACCGTCACCTGCACATCAACTCATAATACTGCATACGTCCCACTACTGTTTTCCATGTAGTGACACATTTGAACTGTTATTAAAAAGCTCTTGGTGAAAGACGGCATCTCTCGTGATGTTCACATTCAACCACTTGATCCAGAAAGCCATTAAACAATTCATTTCTGGGTGGATTCAATCTATTAACAGGTGGATGGTAGATTGTGGATGATTTCTTCTACACAAAAGGCTTTTATAAAGATATTACAGATCTTTACAATGCCCACAAATAATATTTAATTAGGTTCTTCCTTTAATTATTGATGCATGCTAGAATAATGTCTGTAATAATGATGCAGGTGGGCTGGAGACTAATGTATTTAAACTGGATATATATGTTTCTGGGTCATCACTAGACCCAGGAAACATCAAATCCCTCTTCATGTGCACTCGTGTTACAGAGTTATATCCCACTTTCTCCAGCTGAGCTTACTTCTTGAATACCGTCTAAATGAGACCTGGTTTCTCCTTGAGATTGTTGTCCACTCGTGTTGGTCAAAAAATGTAAGCCTTTTGGAAAGTGAGCAGGTTTTTTGTAGGTGCCGTTACTGTTGTGTGATGTTGTGTGTGTTTGTGCAGAATCAGGACGTAACAGAATAACACAGAGAGACTAATAAAACACATTAATCATCACTAGAAAACATATCAAAGCCCTCTTCATGTGCACTCGTGTTACAGAATTATATCCGTCTAAATCAGACCTGGTTTCTCCTTGTTGTCCATCAGGTTTTTTTTGTGGGTTTCTTTAATGTTGTGTGTGTTTGTTCAGAATCAGGACGTGGTTCCCATCAGCAGCTACGACACCGCCGGCTCCTTCCTGATCCTCGGCTGCAACAACGGCTCCATCTACTACATCGGTGAGGGACTAAGATCTGAGTGTGGGAACCAATGACGGAAGTTTGTAACCTGGGAAAATATCAGATGTTAAAACTCGAATCACTAAGAATCAGTACTGTTTTACTCTGCACATTTAGAGCAAAATTCACATTTTCATCAATAATATATTTATATTTATAATTTTATATATTTAATTTTTTACATTTCTTTTTCAACTTTATTTAATTTAATATGTTGATTTTAATTTATTTTATTTTTATTTTATTTATTTAATTTATTTAATTTATTTTATTTATTTCACTTTATTTCACTTTATTTCACTTTATTTTACTTTTAAAGGTTTTTAGATGTGACGGAGCAGGAGGTACTTTTTTAGACATGTGTCTGTTGTTTCGTAATGTCATAATGGATCCCTTGTCTTTTACCTGCAAACCAAATCCACCTACGTGTACAAATAAATAACCTGTTTGTTTGTGAGCGTAGACGTGCAGAAGTTCCCTCTGAGGATGAAGGACAACGATCTGCTGGTGACCGAGTTGTACAGAGACCCGACTGAAGACGCCATCACGGCCCTCAGTGTCTACCTCACGCCCAAAACCAGTACGCTGCTCTATATACTGCTTTCCTCACACTCTTTCTAGTACGCACATACAGGGCAAGATCAAACAGTAAATACAGCAGTCAGAAAAAACGAAATAAGTGAGGAAAAAACATGCATAGTCATAAATAATAACAATTAAGGGGAGAAAAGATAAACAAATGGATAAATGAATCAAGATATTAAGGTGCGGTAGTTTAGGGGGTCATATTGTATTAAGTGTATACTACATTATTTTAGAAGCAGAAGCGTATGCCTCCATCTCTTTAAAAATGATGGTTTCTGAAGCTGTGTGGGATGTCCTCCATGTCGTATAACTCCCAATCCTCCAGGATCCAGTCGTTAGCTGGGGGTTGAGGTTTTATACATCTGTACGTGATGCACTTGATGGCTGCCGCTAAAAGCATTTGTAAATATGCTTTCCCTCTGCCAGCAGCCCCTTGTGTTTGAAGTGCGGTATAAAAAAAAGTGCAATGTAAAGACATGTAGTTTTGATATTATACTTCAAATCAGATTAATATATCAAAATGGCAAATGGTGTTCAGGAATGGGTTAAAAGGACTGCATTTAACGAGCAAAACACATCATATTTTATCCATGCATAGTTAATTATAATATAGGTAAGATTATTTTTTAACACTGATCAAAAAGGCTCTTTAAAGTGATTTAGGTTTAGGTTCCAGCCACAAATCAGGTACAGAGAAACCTGACCTCATGACGTCAGTGATTTACCTGAGACGTGGTGGTGTGTTCAGGTGACAGCGGGAACTGGATCGAGATCGCTTATGGGACCAGCTCCGGGTCGGTCCGGGTCATCGTTCAGCACCCGGAGACCGTGGGCTCGGGACCGCAACTCTTCCAGACCTTCTCCGTCCACCGGAGCCCCGTCACCAAGATCATGCTGTCGGAGAAACATCTGATCTCAGGTAAGAGCTACAGAAACACCTGATCTCAGGTTCGAGCTACAGAAACACCTGGTCTCAGGTAAGAGCTATAGAGACACCTGGTCTCAGGTACGAGTTACAGAAACACCTGGTCTCAGGTTCGAGTTACAGAAACACCTGGTCTCAGGTACGAGTTAGAGGAACACCTGGTCTCAGGTACGAGTTAGAGGAACACCTGGTCTCAGGTACGAGTTAGAGGAACACCTGGTCTCAGGTACGAGTTACAGAGACACCTGGTCTCAGGTACGAGTTAGAGGAAAAAGAGCTAAGAACACCTGTCTCAGGTCACCTGGTCTCAGGTACGAGCTAGAGGAACACCTGGTCTCAGGTACAAGTTACAGAAACACCTGGTCTCAGGTAAGAGCTATAGAGACACCTGATCTCAGGTACAAGTTACAGAAACACCTGGTCTCAGGTAAGAGCTATAGAGACACCTGATCTCAGGTACAAGTTACAGAAACACCTGGTCTCAGGTACGAGTTAGAGGAACACCTGGTCAGGTACGAGTTACAGAAACACCTGGTCTCAGGTACGAGTTACAGAGACACCTGGTCTCAGGTACGAGTTACAGAGACCCCTGGTCTCAGGTACAAGTTACAGAAACACCTGGTCTCAGGTACGAGTTAGAGGAACACCTGGTCTCAGGTACGAGTTACAGAAACACCTGGTCTCAGGTACAAGTTACAGAAACACCTGGTCTCAGGTACGAGTTACAGAAACCCTTGGTCTCAGGTACGAGTTACAGAAACACCTGATCTCAGGTTCGAGCTACAGAAACACCTGATCTCAGGTACAAGTTACAGAAACACCTGGTCTCAGGTACGAGTTACAGAAACACCTGGTCTCAGGTAC